AGGATCTAGTAACAATTTTCTCTTGCATATCTAAGATCCTTATCAAGAACTCTCTAAGCAAATTGTTATCCCAAATGAATTAGAGTATTATTTCAGATTTAAACCATTCATTTATTAATTCAACATTAATTGCTTCTGTTATAGGACACAAAACTCCATTGTTACAAACAAGCTAAAAGAGCAATCTGGCTTATTTTTAATAAACATTCTCAAAAAGATGAATTAATGACCAATATAAGTGTCATTGCTTCTTTAATTAGGATTTCAGAAGAGGTGGTTATCTTTATGCATTCTGGGGCCATTTCTCTGTGCCCTACTCTTCTGTTGAAAGTTCACCAATGTGGTTGAAAATCAGATCTGGTAATTGCAGGAGCAAATCAGTATTCTGCCCTCATCACCAGCACTGCCAGCTGCAATACCTTAAGTATATTTTTATGCAGACTCCTTTTTAATCACTGTAGCTGGTAGGCAGAATAGAGAATGAAGCCCTGGTCAGCTCCAGCAGTGTCAGCTCTGTTGGTCAGGTGCAGTCCAAAAACATTCTTCCACATGTGTACTTCCAAGAAATAATTAAAAGTCATTGATATTGGATCTACTATCTATCTCACTCAATGAATCACAGCATACAGAAGATAATGAATTTAAAGCAATACCCCTCAAGGTATTTGGTACTACTGTTGATGATATAGTGCTTAGTAAAGAAATAGTAAAGAAATCTACCTTGCAAAACTCAAGAACAGTGACATGACTTGCCCCTTATACACATGCATACTCTTCCATACTACCTACATCATTTTCACACTCTGTCATTTTCATGATCTTCTCCCATACAAGCCACTCTTTTCTTCAGACAAGAAGTGAAATGAATAAATGTGCTGCTAAGCCCATAGACAGTTTAAGAAAAATGGTCATTATTTTCTTAGGCAGAAAAAACTGACTTAAGACCTGTTTCTCAGCATCTTTCTTTGGTATGCTCTAGCTGCTGTCTCTCTGTTCTTCTCTTTCACCTCACTGATTACCACATTTTCAAGGCACTCATTTTGCCTTACAATTCCTGCCCCAATAAGGGGATACCTTTCTTTTTGATTACATAGCACCTAGAATTGTGAAACTTTTGTCCACTCAAACCTTCTTAATGATGTTGTGGTATGAATAAGTGGTGAGTGTTATCTTAGCTAGCCACTGCACTAACTGCAGTAGCTGAGGCAGATTTCCATTCTTTTCATATCTTTGCTTCCCTCCTATAGTGACAAAACTAGACTTTGTAGATCCCCAGATACAGGGACTCATGAAAAGTAATTTCTTGATCCTTCTCATTACAGATGTCTTTTTTTTTGAGGATTGGCAAGAGCAGGAATAGAGAGGAATGTGATGGACCTACCGCTGGCCAAGGCCAAACCAGACAGAGGAGGTTGTAATGCCTCTGTGATATCATACTTGAGAAGTAAAAGAGAAGTTACAGTGCAGATGTAATTGGGCTCAGAGAAGAGTAGAGTCAAAATAGGTAAGAGGAGCAGCCCTGCAGACATCAAGGTTGGTGAAGGAGGGGCAGGAGGTGCTCCAGGCACCAGAGCTGAGGTTCCCCTGCAGCCTGTGGTGAGACCATGGTGAGGCAGCTGTGGCCCTGCAGCCCATGGAGGTCCCAGGGGATGCAGAGATCCACCTGGAAGAGACCCAGGCCAGAGCAGGTGGATGCCTGAGAGGAGGCTGTGACCCTGTGGGAGGCCTGTGCTGTAACAGGCTTCTGGCAGGACCTGTGGATAGAGGAGCCCATGCAGCATCAGGTTTTCTGGCAGGAGCTGTGACCCTGTTGGCCATGAACACTGGAGCAGGCAGTTCTGGAAAGACTGCACCTTCATGAAGACCTGCAGCCCCTGGCAATGACTCACACTGGGGAGGTTTGTGGAGAGCTGTCTCCTGTGGAGGGACCCCATGCAGGAGCAGGGGGAGGACTTCCCTCCCTGAGAAGCATCAGAAACAATCTGTGATGAACTGATCATAACCCCCATTCTCCATCTCCCTGCACCACTGGAGGGGAGGAGGTAGATCACAGGAAGCAGGAAGGGGTGGGGGAAAGGTGTTTTTAAGATTTATTTTACTTCTCATTATTTTGCTGTGAATTTGAATGCTAATAAATTCAGTTAATTTCCCTGAGTCAAGCCTGTTTTGCCTATGACACTAATCTGTTTGTGATCTTTCTCAGTTCTTAACCCATGAGCTTTTTGTTATATTTTCTCTTCCCCTTCCAGTTGTGGAGAGGAGTGATAGAGTGGCACTTGTCAACCAGCCATGGTCAGTCTATCCCACATGCTCTTGTCAGCACTATATGACTGACTGTTTTCTCTTTGGAAAACAATACAACCGGAAATGAAAACCATTTTAGTAAGAAAACTATAAAATTTTAACATTTGCGGTGGCATCGATTTTTATTCTTCCCTTTCTTGTTTTTTGGAGGGAAGTCCATTCTTCCTTTCTTCTTGCAGTCTAACATGACTACTTCTATATTTGTTTGGCTTTAAATTTAGTGTTTCCCTTTACTGATTTCATAGAATTTCACTTCTTTTACATAAATGTAGAAAAATGTTTCGTACTTTTTCAAACAATACACTTTCAGTTATGTTAGATTGTAGTGAAAGTGGGAATGAAATGCCCCATTATAATTCTAATTGATGCTCTTTATACCAAAATTGTTACATATAGATATTCTCAAGCACCTTGAGTAATAACATTTTAAGTGGTTCTCCCACTCTTCTATGAAGGGTAGCGTTTACATTCCTGTAGACTTCCCCACTAAACACCTTTCTTGAGATACACTTCTGAGAGGTCACCTACCTTTGCGCTTACAATAGGCAACTTTCTCTCTTTTTGTTTTAAGGAGTCTTATACCAATAACTTTCTAGATTGCTGTGAAAAGGCTCTGAACAGTCTAGTTGTTCTTTCTTTTTGCATGCACCAGAAAATGGCATTAGAGCATGTAGAGTATACATACTTTTTATGCTTGTAAATTAACATACAAGTATATGAACATTGCTACTGCCCTGCTGATTTTACACTGCAGAGGAGATGCTATTATTGGCTTCAGACTAAAATGTCATCTGGGTTTGGAGTCTTCCAGATTATGATTTCATCTCTGTAAATTCTAGTTTTCATAAGTCTGTTTATATGCACTGTAAACTGAAATATTCAGTCTGAAATAGTTACAGACATAAAATGCTAATCAAAACATTTTATGGTTGAGTTATGCCTGCTTCTACTCTTTTAAAAATTCTGCTAGTGAAATCACAGCATTGTATTTTAGATTAGATGCCTAATATTTCCTTTTTTGTGTACTTCCTTTACGCAGACAAGCCACCATATTCAGTTGAGCAGGGCTTAGGACTTGAAAAGAGACATTATTTTTGGAAAAAATCCAAATAAAATAATGCCATTTTTATTCTTTCCAAGACAAGTTTATCACTGGGGATTTTGTTAGTTTAAATCAGTTGCCCCCATAATTTTGCTAGCTGCTTTTAAAGATCATGCAATTCCCTCAAATTCCAGGATAAATGCTATTATAAGATGATACAGAATGGGGATTGGTGAGCTTTTGTATGTCTCAGTGAGCAAAATAGGTGACAGGAAGCAGTTCTGCCTGCTTAGACATTCATCCAAGTCCCGCTATAAGGACTGGAAGGACATCCATTGACTCCACTGGGAACTGGACGAGTCTCTAAGCGTCAATAAAATCAAAGAATTCTCACAGTGAATCGGCCTATCTGGCACGCATTAAAATAAACGATTGTAAATTTTGAAAATGACTCTTCTTGCAGCATAGGCCAATTGGTCAGCTGCAAATTTGGCACAGCTGTGCAGCATGTGTCCTGGGCAGTCCACAGGAACATGATGTTCTTTTTCACTCCTGAGAGCTTTGGAGAATGAAAGAAAGGACTCAACCCATTGCTGAAGACTAAATGCTGAAATAATGGAGCTAAATAAAGAAATCAAGAAAAGGCTTACAAAGGTAACATTTATTTTGGAAGAAAATAAATTAGCAAAGCCTCAAAAAGAAGAAAAATTTTAAAGGCAAGTGTACTGCCTAATTAGCTGTTCTAGAAGGAAAAGAATAAAATTCAGAAAATTCTCTGGCAGAAGCTGATGGAATTTGACCTTTATATCAATGCACTGTAGAAATAAGGCAGAATTCCTGAAAAAAAAATACTAAGCATGTAATTTTCATCCTTTAACCATCTGTGGGGGGAGTGAAATTCATCCAAAGAGAGGAGAAGCTACTGAGCTCTAGGCATCCACACTGCTGTAAAGAAATGCTGCTGCTCTGTCTTCAAATAGAAGGATGATTTTGCAGCACAGACTCCTAGAGGATGCCTTTAAACCCTTGTGCAGTGGGTACAAACTCTACAAAAAATAGTTAGATAGATTTTCAACTGCATATAAAGACAAAAGAGCAAGAAATTACAGTCAGTATTGTTTTTCATGTAATGTGCAAATAAAGCACAGCACATGCACACTTAGGCTTGAAAGCAGACACTGAAAAACTGGTTTTGATTGCCCTGATTTCCCACAAAGGAAGCTTCTCATGCTTAGAAAGCTGGACGAATGTCATTAATAGAAAAGGAGTTTCACCACAATAAAAGAAATGTGAGATTCAGTATCTGTACCATGTTGTTAAACACTAATCCCAAGAGACCTTAAGTCTAGCTCAGCATTTTGCAATTACATAGTAAAAGATACTTTGGACTTCCTTATTTCATGTCTTTGGGGGTAGTCTGCACTGGTAAAACAAGATATCACAGAATATATGATTAGTAACTAAATATTCCTCTGACCTAGAGATAACTACTTCTCTCCAAGATAAGTGAATTCCTCAAGAGTCTCCTTGCAATTCTTAAAAGCTATTAAAAAGTCACTGTTTAAAAAAATGCAACTTTAAATTAGCATTTTAATTAAGGGAGTTTTAGAACCCCAAAGTTTTATCTGTGTTTTATTTTGCTTTTTACTTTCAGCTGTTGCATGTGGAGTTCTCCTCCTTCTCTGCTTCCCTGCTGGCTCTGAATGATTTGTGACTGCATTCCACAAAGATCCAATGTGACAAGAGCAGAAGAAAACATTAAAATACTTTTTAGAGGTAATCTTAAAATTCTCTTTTTTGCTAATTCAACCTTTTTTTTTCAGTCAAAAAATCTGACCACTAGTAGTTTAATTTGACTCATTGATGCTAATGGTCCATGTCCACCTCTGTTTCTACGGAAATGGATGCCAGCCTGAAGAGCAGGGAATGATTTTAAACATATTCTTCATAGAAGCTGTTACCTATCAGGTATCCTTTATCCCTAAAATCTGACTTAGAATGGTTTCTGGTAGCAAAACAAAAGCACTGCTAAATAGTTTCTAGTACTGCTAGTTGAGGACCAAATTTATCAAAATAAAATTTTCAAGTATATACAGAAGAAAATCCCAGGCTCACTGGCTTCTTGATCCTGATTTGTTATTGTCTTGCATCAAATGCAGTAATTCGCCAGATCAGAAAGAGTATATCAAATGCTATGAAAGTAGGATGGGTGAATAAAGCATTACCAAAATGGGACAAGATTGCTTCATTGTTCTCTGTAAACAACCAGGCAAGATGAGAAGGAAAGAAGGGCGAAAAATGGGCGAATTTCAAATATCTACTCTTAAAGGGAGCATAGATATTGTTCTCCCAAGGGAACACTGGTTCTGCGTAGAGGTTTTGCAAGTAAGGTCTAATGTAACATTTCTCTCTGAAAGCTATCACTCCTCAGGAGCATCTCCTTAGGCTGAATAGGTTGGTGTTGTGTTGAGGTTTTTTTCTGATTCATGAGTAAAATTCTCATTGGTTCAAATGATAGTATCTACAGCTGAGAGCAAAATTGTTTCTAAAGATATGGGGAAAACTTAAAACCCTTTTCTTTTTCCCACCAAAATATTGAAAGACTTCATTGAAAATATCTTATTCACGTTTTCAATCTGTATATGCATGTGCACACATGATCTTGGTCTCATATAAAACAGTGAGGAAGGATAACATAAACAAGTATTTACACAGAGTAATATAATGAATACAAGTCACTTCTACTTTGTGATTAACTTCTCTCGCACAATGTGTGAAGGCAGAACACATGTCCTGGCATGTATGCTATTTCAGCAGATTGTGGAAGATTGCCACATGCTTGTTTTCATGACTCTTGTAGGGGTTCTCCCATTGGCTATCACCTGGTTTTAGGTTTTTTGAGTCAGATGTAATCTAACATGCAGCATGTGTATTTTAATGTCTGTAAGTGGACATACTGTAGCGTCTTAACAGCGTAGCCTCTGATATATTTAACATACTGAGCATTTTGTATAGTGCATGACTCATGGATTCCATATGTGCCTCTAATGATCTGAGGTCTTACCCTTCCTGCCTCCCTCATTGTGTACTTTGTGCATCCACTCCATTGATCAAGTGGCAATGGGCTTCAGTGAAAACAGTGCTGACCAGTTTGCACCTGGTTTGAGCAGCTGGCTTAATATTGATCTTAAAACAAAGAAATCTTTTTGATAATTTGTCCCAAAAACTTTCTCTGAATAGAACTTCTGTCCTGGGACAACTCCCACCTAGAAAAATGATGTACCATTATGTGGCAAGTTTGGATTTTCAGATTCACTGGATGGACTAGAGAGAAATTTTTTCCTTGTTGAATTTTTTATGTTTTCTGAAGTGGAGTAAGAAAAAGGAATGTGGTGGAGCATTTTTCCCTCAAATGCTATGGAGGTCATAGGTCCTGTCACAAGCTACACACCCTCATTTCCCTCATTGAGCTTCTAGGATGTATTACAAGAATCCCTGATCTTAGTACTGTAGAGAAAATTGAAGTCACAGGACATCAACATTAGCACATTAGCATACATCACATCAATCAAATTTGGCAATGTTGACAGTAGAAAGATTCAACTGAAAACCAACATTGTGTTTAAAAATCAGTTGAAAAAACAATTTTCTGTTGAAATGAAGTTTGCACAAAAAAACCTTACTTTCAACACGTAATATTAGAAAGGCCAATAATCTGCTGATGGCAAAGTATTTGGTTGTTACTTTTGTACAGATGGCTGCATAACATTCACAGAAGGAATGATTCTAGAAGCCAGTTTTTCAAATGTCATCTTCTACATATGTAAGTGCAAATGGGTCCCTGTATATATCACTTGTGCATGCAAATGATAGACCTAGCATTTGCACATCAAGCACAGATCATCTTTGGGCATTATCCTACAGATGGACAGATACACTGTGAATCACATTTATTCAAAGAAATGCAAGCTAAAATCCCTTTAGAAAGGCAGTCCTTTGGTTTGTCTACTCCCAGCAACATACAGTTGCTGAGGTAAGAAATTACTCCTACTCAATGTTGTGAAGAGAATTTTTTCATCCTCTGAATATTCTCTTATTAATCCTATTTTCCAAAAGTATGATACCATATAGTAAGGCTATGCACTGCAGAAAAGAAGAGATTTTTATAATTAATATTGGCTTGGGCTGTCAATAATTACACACTTACCTCTGCACAAAAATTGACAGAAAGAAAACATACTGGGTCAATATTAGGAGACTGGATTTTTAAAAAACATTTTGTGATATCCTTGTCTTTAATCTGTCATGTCATTAATGATGCATCTTTGGCTGAGGAACTATGGGACATTATTTATGTTTCTGATTAAATTTAGCCATTTGAAAGCGTTTTTTTTCCCCCAGTATATTTATTTGTGAGAATAGATCTTTTACCAGAATAGCTAAGACTAAGAAATTTCTGTTTCATCAAATCTAAGCTGATTCCATTGGCTTCTATAGCAATTCTTTAGTCATAGATTGGAAATAAACACCTTAATTGAGACTCACAGTAATTTGGAATGGTGTTAAATTGCTAATAGTATGCTATGTATAGATGTGATAATATAAATATGATAGCTGGACATGCGTCATATATCATCACATTGAAACTTTTATTACTGCTTCAATGAATGCTAGAGAAGGTGCAGTTCCCCAAACAGTACCATTTTGAATGTGCAACATGCAATAAATTACCTTTTGTCTGAAGGATTTAAATTGTATTTATATTTCAAAGAAGAAAATCACAAAACTTTTTCTTGTTTAAACACAATTCTTGCCATGGCATCTTTCTAAAGGAAAAGGAGGTGAAACATATAATTTTAAGCTTTTGTAGATATTTATTTTTAGCTTTGCTTCAGTATTCTTGATTTTTTTTTTAAGGAACTCAGTTAAGTGTGCCTTATTAGCTCATTTGTCAGCTATTTGATGTCAATAGTGTTAATACAGGTGAAATAAAGTTCATGGAAAGTATTGTATTTCTATAAAACAGACAGCTTAGCACATTCTCTGTTGTTCTGGTCATATGACAAGGGGGCCTTATCATGACATGCTTAGTTTTATTACTAGAGGTAAACCTTTTTGTATGTGGTGAGCTATTTAACTGTTACAGTACTGCATTTTGGATAGTGAGCCATAAACATGGTTGTGGGCTTTCAGATGTATAAAAAAAAATCAAGGACTTATATAATCACCCATGAAGAAGAAGGAGAAGAATCAAGTTCAATATTTGTTTATATTCTGTGGGGAGTGCAGCTCAGATGACTGTTAGCTTTCTGACTGAAGGCAACACAGTTTTTAACAGATTTTAGATCTTTGCATGAGTGTAGCTAACTTAAGAAGGCTTCAAAAGGCTTTCAGAAGTTTGTTTTTTTTTTCTTTTTTTTTGCTTAACGATGAACTTACAGCACTTTAAACAATGTACGAAGATACTGGAGGTAATCTACATCTTCTAAGTCCAGGGAGAAGATGTATTTGGGACTTCTGGCCCACTATTTGAGCCAGAAGACCCAAAACAGTGGACAGTGGGTGAAGTTTTCCTAAAAGTAATAACACACCAACAGCAAAGCAAGATGTCAAGCAGGGTGTAGCAATAGCTACATAAAACTAAAATTTCCTTCCTCCTCTCCACAAATAGGTTCAGTAAAAAGGACCCTGTGACTTCTTCCCCTTTGAACTTAAATTGTTTTTTTGTCTGTTAATTTCTGTAGCTATATGTAGGGTGAATATGACATAAACCCTGCTAAGAAAAGTGCAAAGAAATTCAGAAACTGAGTCACATCTTCAGCAATGAGCAATTTTGAATGGGAAGAGAATGGACCAAAGAAGCATGACAGGAATTAAGACGTGTAAAGATATGAGATTAATGTTTTATTACATAGTTATCTCAAAAGACAGGTATTTATAGTGGAGTTCATAATGTAATTCAGTTCTTAGAGAGCATCTGAGAAGAGCATTTCTTTCTGCTATTCACCTTAAAGTCCCATCATGCATTTTATTGAATATGAAAGATAAACATCTGTTATAAACAATGAAATCATGTTTCTTACTTTGAAGCAAAATACTGGAACACATAATCTAGTGAGAATCCTTTCCTATTTCCTTTTCATTGATTATATTGTTGGAGGCAACTTCCCTGTGTTTCTACAGCTATCTTTGATGCAAAAGCAAAAATACAATTAATTAAAATTAGAGTACTATCTAATTTTCTGTCTGAAATTCATTCGTCAGAAAGTAAAATGCAGGAAAGAAAATGGTCTCTGTCTCTTCTTGGATCAATGTCACTCTATTACCAACAAATTAATTCATTGATGTGGAGATGCACTTTCCTCAGTGCAAATCCTAGTCTAGGATTTGTATTGCCTTGCCAATAATAGGGGTGTGATGAATTGATATTTGATATGTTTGCAGCTAAATAAATTCAAGACCAATCTTTACTAATGACATGGAACTGTGCAGCAGACCTGAATTCTGTGTTGGGCGTAACATTTCCAGGATAGGTGACTCATTTCACTTTATTCAGTGTACCTTTTACTTATGAATTCTAGGCATCCTCCTGTCAAGTGTGTACAAAAGATGGAGCTGTATCCAAGAACTGAGAGTTATTCAGAATGGACAACAAACTAACGTGAATTCACTTTGAAGTCACCAAATGCCAAGGGAAGTTATAATAAATTCTGCCAAATTTTCTGGACCCTTTATACACATGATAAACAAAAACCAGACAGCATTCTGCAGGCAGACATGATCTCAAAAAGCAAAGTCTGCTCTTCTTCTTTCCAGTGCTGTTGCTTCATATAGTGGTTATTGGGCCACTGAACCTGTCACATTTCAATTGCCTTTCCACATACTGGGTGCCAGGTTTCTTGCACAGAGTTCTTAAAATGACAGGTATCCTTGATCAATGCTTAACCATCCAGATTTCTTGAACTCAAGTTCTTTGACTCACAGGTTGTTGCAGTTGAGATGGACATGACATGACCTCTGCAGTTTATGCGGCATCAGTGAATTTTCATTGATTATAGTTCTTTTATATGGTTTTCAAATAATCTCACAGTGGATCCCAACTGGCTAAATTTTGGTTACCACCCAGCTCACTGGCCAATAGCTGCCTGTGTCCATTCTTGTCAGGGATTGACTGGCGTTGTTTGAATCTGAGATTTGAATCTCCCAGCTTCTCAGTGTCTTCCTCCTAGGGATGTTTACTTCTTTTCCCTGATGGAATAGACTGGTTGAGTTATGGTTAGGGCTACCTATGAATGTGAGGCCTCCAGGCCAGCTGTTGTCCGCCACAGTTCCCCCTTTTTGTGTTTTTAAATACAAAAGCAGTGTCTGTCACCCTCTTCAGGGCCCTTGCAGACAGGATGGCAAACATGGCACAATGTGTGAGATAATTATGATGGTACAAATGATAAGCCTAGTTTGCAGGAGGCTATTCACCCAACTCAACAAGCCTAGCCTTACTAGCCATTAGTCTATCCCGCATACCATCAAAAGTTTTTACTGTCGTGTCCAGGAGCTATCAAAAATGAGCACAGTTTTACAGGGTGGTACACTGCACACTGTTCACATCTATGGCTGAACTGCTCAAACTAAAGGAAGTTACAAACAAGTCAACTCAAAAAAAACCTGTCAAAGGTAACATTCAAAAACTGTAAGAAGTAACATTTTGCTGTCGTGTTCTCAGTTTGGTCTTACAGGTGATGTCCAGTCATAGTTTTGGAGACAGACCAGTGACAAGACACACCGAGTCCATGCAGCTGCAGTTCCCTTCCGTCAGCGCTTGCTCCCTTATATACCTGGGAGCCCATGAGGTCAATCCTCATTGGCTGAGCCTGTTACTTCCTGCTCAGCCAGCCAATAGAAGCCTGAGTCTCCGACGGCCTGGGCCTGCTCTTCCTGGTCTAATTTTATAAGTAAGTAATTATGTAACTGATCACATATTTCCCTTATAATTTTATAATTATTTATACTTTGAGGCCTACAGGCCACCTGTAAGCCAACACAATGTCCAGGTATATAATTAAAATTTACATGTCCTTTTGCTAGCAATGTCCTTAAATTGTTTGACTCTTCAGGTTTAAATAAAGTAATGGGTGAATTGTCTTCCAGTTGTTGACAACACCCAATAACTATTGGTTGGTTTGTTAGGTCATGTTAAATGTGATTGAGAATTTTAAGAACATCCAAGGCTTTAGTGGCAGGTATATATTATCCCCACACTCCCCCTTCTTTGTTTTTACAGTAGTATGCTTAACATCATTATTCAATGGCAGCGGTGCAAATAATGAACCTTTTCAAACATTGAAATCTAATGTTGATGTTGTTGAAAGAGCTTTTTTTCTTTTGTTACAGCATTAGCTTCATTTCCTGTTGGTCCATTGATATAATAGTGATAGATATGTGCCAGCTGCCTTGTCCTAAGATGGAAGTAGTTTTTCCAATATTGCATGTGATCTGGTTGTGGAACTGTCCAGGCAGGGCTAGCTAACCCATCAGGTCAGGTATTTGAATACTAGTCCTGAGCACAGAGTATACACAGCTGCACAACCTTGGTCAATCGTGTTTCAAATCTGAGAAAAAATGGTGTCTAATTCAAGTACTGTGAAAGTATCTGAATGAGGAGGCAGGGCTCATTTTGTCATCTAGCTTTGCCTATTATACTGTTTAGGTTCCTACACACTTTGGAGTCCTAACTATTTAGCCAGACCATAGACCATAACCTTTAAATAAGTACCAGTATCCATTTAACAAGTTCCTTCACCACTTAACAGTCAAGTGCCATTACCTATTTAACAAGTAAGTTAATTGAGATGTTGCACACATTGCAATGCCCCTGTAAATTAAATGAATCCCTCACAACTGGCTCAGACTTGCTGCCCTTCAAATACTTGCAGAGAGATTCAGAAGAGGTAGCATATTTAGTGAGGAGATGAAAGGGAGGGAGAGATGACTAGTCTCTTGTTTTGGCTAGTGTTTGTAAATTGGTCCTCATACTTCACAATTTTATCCATTGCATTTTGTAGGCAGGCTGAGCACCTGAGAATCTCATTCAGGGACATGCAGTTTACACCCATGTCAGTTATAGCTAATTACAGTGGTTTTGTGTGAATGGGTATATGTACAAAACCTTGAAAATATAACTTCAGACTTTGTTAGTTATTGCTAATGCATTAGAAATGCCTTGATTGATCTGCTTTTGTGGGGTTGTGGTATCTCTTATTTTTGAGGCAGTCTGTAAGACTCTCTACCCCACACATAACGTCTTCAAACAAAGCAGAAAACCTTGAAGAAAATTTTAAGGTTTTTGAGAGTTATAGCCCATACTTTGTTTATGTAAAGGAATTATTTATTGAGGTAGCACTACCAAAAGGCAGATTTGGATACCAGGACAATGCATTAGATAACTGCTAGTCCATTTGCTCCCTGGTATTTTGTGGTATTTTATGCTATCTTAATGGCATCACCTGAGATTCTTTGGGCACAAAAATATTTTAAACTGTGGTCTGTAATAAATTTTTAGGAAATACTTTTCAAATTCCCACAGAAAGATACTCTGTTGAAAATGTTGACATGGCCAGGTTATTATTTTGAGATGGTCATTAGAGAATATTGAATTCTAGTTAATTTAAACTTTAAATATTATATATACATATAAATTCAGCCATAATATATAGAGATATATGTCACTGTTGAGACTTCAGTGAATGCCACCAAGAGGTTATTAAATACAGCACACATTCTAAGGATAGCAGGTCCAGTGGAAGAGTTCACTCATTTTCAGTCCATTCCAGTATGAATAACACCAATGCTTGCATCAGCGTCATAAACTGGTTAAATTGCCAAGTCAGGCTAAAGAGAAGCCTTGCTATGGATACAGCCATGAGTGTGAGCCTTTCTTGAGCAGGCTGCAAATGAGTTCTGAGTAGGTATGTGATAGCTGCTACTGAACAGCAAAGAATAGCAGTGCCCAGTTCTCCCTTAAAGGGATGGTGAATTCTACTGCTTATAGTATCTACTCTGGCTCTGAAAAGAAATCACTATGAAGGTTCTGCAAGTTGCCCATTGTTTCTGCATCTCAAATGATGTACTTCAGCTTCACTAACTGTTATATACCAGCAAGATGCCAACAACCCTGAAAGCTATCTTCCCCTAAGAAGCCAGCTTGTTACACACAGAGCAATGACCTAAACTGCTTGAAGTCCAGACAAAGAGTAGATATAAAAATAAACAGGCACTAGGTATTGCTGAATTGGAAGAATACTAAACAGAATGCTGAGAAACAGAATGCTGAGAAACACCTCTTGGTAAACATTCATTCTTTCAAGTATGTTAATTGTCCTCAGAATTTTTTGTTGTCGTATACTAAACCATGTAAACCTTGCAGTATAGAAGCAGCCTGAATCATCTGTTTGTAGTAGGAATAATAAAGTTCACACTTGGTTCTGAATGAAATTTCTATTGATATTGGAAAACCACAGGTAATTTTCATGCAGTGTAGCCACATAAAGAGAAGTAAGAAGTCCAAGAGGGACGATAGCATTTCCACAGTTATTAAGAGTGTGTTCCATAGCTTAATACTGGAGGTTGAAACTGTGAAGACCAGGATAGTGTAGGTGCAATATTTCATTTACTACATTATTTGAATGACAATTCCTTGTCCAGTTACCAGATTCCAGACTTTACAGATATGGTCTTTAGATCCAGTGAAGAGAAGCTAATCAGTTGCTTCAACACAAAGTACAGTCTTGGTATGTTCCTCAGGCTTTCTTGAGCTCTTGCTGTGGATGCAGTGGCATGTGGTGTTCCATGGCTCTGGGTGCCGGCAGCCCACCGCTTAGCTTCTGGCTTCTGCTTGCACGCCGAAGCTGTGAGTGGGCTTGCCAAGCAGTGGCTGGGCTGTCCAGTCAGCCGCAGGCAGGGGTGGGCTGAGCAGATTACGGCGATATGGGGCGTGGAACAAAGCAATGGCTCGGGCAGCTGCGGTGTGAGTGAACCCGCACACGACACAGACACACCCGACGCCGCTCCGGCGGCAGCATGGCGGGACGGTGCCACAGGGACAGGGAGCTCGGATAATGGCCGCCCCCCCAGCCTCTCGCCTGGCCATTCTGCCCGTGCACCAGTCCCCCATCGCTCACCCCTGCCCTCCGTCCTTGCTGGATGTTCTGGCAGTGCCCAGTTGCAGCTTTCACACTCCACTCGGCTTTTATGTTTTGAAGTGTCCCACACCAGCCACCAGGTCATTAAAATATCTTCACCCATGTTGTTGCCTCCGGAGGCCAACTTTAATATCAGTTCAACATTCTGCTCCCATGTTTGCACATTAAAAGTGGTTTCTGCAATTGTGCCTAGTAGATGGCTCTTACACCATGACAGCAAGGTTTGCAGAGCATGTTCACCATATTTTACCCCTCATTTGCATAAGAAGAGGGTCCATATCTGCACTACAGCTTTTTCCTCTGTCAGGACTCTGGTTCCCATGTCCTCAGTGAATACTTTCTATTTACAGTTGTCTGTATAGTTGCAGCTATACACGCCCACCAGCAGCTCTCCAGGCTGCCTCTCCCATGGGCTTCATCCTCCCACTCTCCATGTAGCAGGCTGCAGCCTGTCATGTCGGGATCACCACTTGTCACAGTTTAGACGGAGACAACACAACACCCTCTGGTTCATGTGGCAACAGCGAATTTTAATCTGTTGCAGTTCTCTTTTATGTGGTTTTCAAATAATCTCACAGTGGATCCCAACTGGCTCAATTTTGGTTACCACCCGTCTCACTGGCCAATAGCTGCCTTGTGTCCATGCTTGTCAGCTGGTGTTGTTTGAATTTGAATCTCCCAGCTTCTCAGTGTCTTCCTCCTAGGGATGTTTACTTCTTTTCCCTGATGGAATAGACTGGTTGAGTTATGGTTAGGGCTACCTATGAATGTGAGGCCTCCAGGCCAGCTGTTGGCTGTCACAACAGGTGGTTATTAATGGCTTAAAGAGAGTTTCAGAATAAAACATTTGTAGTTAGGTAAGGAAGAATGATATTTTGAGACATCAAAATAGCTGCAGAAGAATGGGTCTATAGATTGTTAGTTTAAATCACTTCTCTTCAAATATGATAGAGAAAATAAAGCTTTGGCCTGAAAATTTGAGCTAAGCAGAAAGAGTAATAGTTATTTTTTCTTTGTTGGATAAGGAATTTTACCATTGTACTCTTTTGACTGTGAACTGAGAATTAAATGCGGGTATGGAAATTTTACAGTTGTCTCAGAGAAAAATTCAAGCATGGATATGTGGCAGAAGGGAAATTGTTGATTTGGGTTTTATTTTTTTGTTTTGGTGAGGTTTTTTTGTTTGGTGTTTTTTGGGGGGTTTGGGTTTTGTTGTTGTGTTTTTGTTTTGGGGTTTTTTTTTTATTTTTAATATTTTAATATTTCAAATAGGTCTAGAAGGTCCAAGAAAAATGACACCTTTTGTCCTGGAATTGTTAGGTGGATTTCTGCATACAGATGAGAGGCAACAGCCAGAATGTTTAGGTTCTTAACTGGGATTGGGCTCACTGCATACAAGTCGTCACAGACGCCACTTAATGTTTTTAGTGGCACTTTTACTACCTAACTTTTGTGACTTGTATCTCTTATTCAGACCCTAGTTTTAACAACTACTTCGTCCTTTCTCTCATATATGTTTTTCTGCATTGTGCCTCTAACTGCAAAGTGAACAGCTCTCTCCGTATCCTCTTTCAGAGGGTAGCACCACACATTCGGTGGCATGACTTCATAGCCACTGTAGTCAGTCCAAAACAACAGCCTCCTTCATGTTTTTCTGTACTCCTGGAGCTCTTTGGAACTTGTTCCTGGGAGTGGAATGCAGACTAATAAAATTAGTACATGAGGTTTATAAATAAATTAAAGCACTCTCATCT